ATTTTAATTTATTTTACTTTTTAGTTAGAGAGAAGACTATCTTTTTTCTTCTCTGAACAACATTAAATACGTTACAGTATAAGAAATAGATCAATTTCTTAAGATAGACGATAGTGACACAAGTGCTCCGAAACTAAAAGCGTCAAGAAATGCGGCAGGATCGCGTAACAGATTTTATTTTTGCACTACAGGTACAAATCTTTTAAATAGGCTCTATAATTGTACTTATAACAGCAATACAAGAATATTATTAATTGTTAATTAAAAAAATATTAAATAAGAATTCAATATTAAAAAGCGTATTGTTAAACTGAACATAAATTTTTGAAGATAAAAAAATAATGCGATGAAAAATAACAATAATGTTAACGAAAATATTTAAGATATTAATTTATATATCTCTAGTACTTTTTTATTTCGTGTAATATTGCGTATTTATTTCTAACGGCAATGACGAAAATTCTTGACGATTTATTCGAGACTGACTCATGTAATCGAACGACTAAGGAGAAAAATACTTCCGATTAATCATCAAAATATTTTCTGATACATACTTTAGTTAAATTTATATAAATATTCCATGTAAAATCACTTAATATTTGAAATAATTTCGAACTTTGTTATTTTTATTTTTAATAAAATAAAGATAGAAATGAAAGTTTTCGTAATGTGTTAGCTGTGGATCAAAATAGTATATTTGTGTATACATATATAAATAAATTGTACATATAAAATATATAATTAACATCCTAATAAATATATATTAAGGAATAATAATATATTATATTTATTGTATATACTATTTACAAATTAATTTTAATTTTTAGACAAACATCTGCTACAATTGAAACCCTGCTCCCTTTTCTTTTTTAATATCAAAGATGAAGATTTCCAAGTAGAGAGGCGGATGAATCACACACACACACACACACACACACAGACACATAATCGAGCATAAGGAGTAAAAAGTATATTTTTCACTGATTGAAAAGCGATGTAAACAAAGAGATGCAGCAGAAATACATACTTTCATTTCGTAGCACTTGATAACATCTTCAATCGCTTCCTCTTCAGTCAAGCCCAGGCTCTCTATCAACTCCCTAATCTCTTCGTCGTAGGCTTCCTGGGTAATTATCGTGCTCATGATAACGCGGTTTCTTTCACCGGTGATCTGTTTTGCTATATAAGGAAATGAATGCCGTACGAATCGTACAAGCAAGGCGAACGTGCACTGGCTTGTCCATGTGCTGACAAAGAGAGCGGGACCTGTCAATGCGATTGCGCGTTCGTAAACTCCGCCCGAGGGTGCCAAGATATAAAAATTCGGACATCTCTGTAATAAGTTCAGGAACGCTTAGAATAATATATATATATATAGGTATTTAATTTGATTTCGCGCTTGTTTTTTACAGTGCAAAGTATAAAGAAAAATGGTCTAAATCGAGTGGTAATCTATGGTGGTAATAAGATTTTTTAATTAATTTACAATATTACTAAGAAACATAAAATAAAAATGTAAAAAATATATATAAAAGTATAAAAATATCAAACGTTTTGGAACTTACAGGTTCTTCTTCAGCGATTCATAAAGATGTTTCGATGTCAACGAGATAAACGCGCATAATCTTACGATCAAAAACATGGAGTGTGGTATTGCGCTGGTATGACAATTTGAAATGATTCTCCTGTTTTTGTATGAATGTGGAAATTGTGTAAAATGTATGAAAACGGGAGCATCATTATTTGTAACACTTGCGCTTAACAGAATCACGAACAAATAAATGCTCCTATTTTCATACATTTTCATACTTCAACTTATTGCACCGTTATTTGTATCAGTTCGAAGAGTGCAGGAATAAAGAATAGATCTATTGTCGAAACTGCTGATAAAGTACCAGTGTTAAAAATTGATGTGATTAATTGAATAAGCTGTATCCATGAATTATAGCATCCACTCTGGGATGGATTACCTGTCTAATTTCACAGCTACATTCACAAATTGTGGATATAAAATAACGAGCATATATTATTTCATGTCTATCTACATTTACGTAAATGTATTTTTTTCTTTCGCTATAACTTAAGTTTGACATTAACATTGACATTAACCAATCATAGCCGAGTATCACAGCTATTCTTCTGAAGAATGGAATAGTAATTGTGAGTGGTCGGTTTCATAACACGCGGACCAGCGTCCTCGAACGAGCGATCGCACTCGCTCTCGATCGAATTGACCGCGCGCAGTCGATTTGAGCGTTGCGAGTTGCGACTCTAGCTGCCTAGACTGGCCTAACCGTGTTTGTTCGTGGTGTCGCGGCACGGCAAACGATATTATTATTGTGCCCCCCCTTCCACCCCCTCTTGCGGTCGTGATATTTGACGCGACTTGTCCGCGAGTTCCCGGCACATGCGGCCGACGAAGGTGGCTTGAGAAGAGGGAGGAATTCCGTACGTCGTCGTCGTCGTCGTCATCGTTGTCGTCGCCGTCGTCGTCTTCGTAGCTGTCGCCCTCGTGCATCCTCCCCTCTCTCCCTCCGAGCGCGGTGTCCGCGCCGCAAAGTTTTTCGTCACCGAGGAGTCTCGTTGGCGTGGTGTAGCACATCCGTTTGTCCTCATCGCTACCGTTTTCGCTTTCCGCTCGACGAGTCGCGACGTCAGGCAAGGTAAGCGTTCCCTCTCGGGTCCCACACGCTCGGGGCACGTGAACTCCCGTTCGCGTCCTCGTCTCGAGACGCGCGGGTTTCACGCGTGCACGCCGTGCACATATACCCTCGGTTGCTGTGACAGTTACCTGATGAGGCATATCTTTATTCTCTGGGGCGTCGCAGTATTGTTGCTCTGTGCTGAACGAAGAACGTAACTTCGATAGAATTTCATATCGCCGGATCCTAGGTTGCAAACGTGAAGATACTTGCTCTGTAGTGGAGAACTTTTTGCGTCTTGCATGGAAGAGATTAGCTTATTATTTAAGCTTTTGTCTCTCAGAGATTTATAGATCTTCTATGGATACTGAAAGATTTAATAGATACTTTTTTTGGCGTAGGTATCATATAATTTCTTAATCTTGTACAAATAGTTTTCTAAAAAATATTTGCTTTTGGAGCGATTTAAGCCACGTAAGTCTCTTTGATGTATGTATGAAAAACAACATAACAAATTTTTCAACTAAGTTATTTTACATTAAATATAACTTTTTAATTATGAACAATGTACTTGTTCATCAATTTTTGAATGATCTCTTAATCTTGCAAATAGCTTTCTAGAAAGCATTTACTGGAGCAATTTAAGTTACCTAAAGTTTCTTCAATGTAAGTCTGAAAACAACAATAGATATTTTTTTAACAAGTTTTTACAAATATAATTACTTAGTTGTAAACAATGCTCTTATTAATTTTCAGTGATTAGAAATGGTAATTTTTTTTAACACTTATGCAAAATTGAACAATGAAATGTTTGGTTTACCTTAATATATTACGATATATAAAATATGTTTAAGAATATTAAAATGATTATATATTGTTTGTAAACGTTAATGCATAATGCATATGGTACAATATATTTTTAATTTTTTAGAAACAAAATATAATATAAAAATATAGAGAACAACTGAGAGTCTACTCTCTTTATATCGCAGCAAAAATTTTTATGTTTACATAGAAAATTAATTCCATTTGAGAAAGTAAAAATTGATTTAAGTATTTTTAAAGATTATTTTATCTATAATTATAAATCAAAGACTTTTACCAATTTAAAAGAAAAGTACTTCAAAATTTAAGCTGTTTTAACTTCAGAATTAACTATAAAAAATAATTTTTAATTACTATTAGTTAATTGTATTATAAAAAGAATAGTTCGACTCAAATCTAATATTATATTGTTTATGTATTTCAGAGACTACAATTCGTAGGCTGGTCACAGTATCTTGGATATGAAACGTAGAAATAGTGAAACAAAAGAAGCACTACGCTTGAAGAGTGGATGTCCGCGGAAGAAATGCAAAGGAGAATGATAAAGATAATAATGCATTGCTCGGTCATGCATGAATAATTGTTACAGTGTTTATATTACCTTACTGTAGAGAAGTTTGACATATTGGATGAACCAACGTTGTCGGAACAACATTGTCGTACTGCATCTTACATATTTATGTACAGCGATAGAGATAATTTTTAAAAGGATATAACATTGTATAAGGATACAGAAGTAGCTTTTTTAACGAAGAGTAAATCATTATTTTTAATAATTAAATATAAACATATGAGAATCAAATTGTATGTGCCCAATAAGAAGAAGATAAGCTATATTGCACAAAGATCGGCTTTCCTAAATAATGCTCAAACAGCCGCAAATATAATTTGGTAATAAATAAAAGCCTCTTCTAATACGATTCAAGAAAAGCGATAAAAGAAATGCTTTGAGTCTCTCTAAGGAGGATGCGTAAGAATCGAGAAAGATTATGTCCTGTGATTGTTGTATTCCACGAGATTGTTTACATTTGCTGCATGCCATGTGTGACTGACAAACGAGTAAACTCGTATACTCTTTTCTATGGAGATGATGATCTGCTGATGTGATCGTTTCCTTTGCGAGTATCTACTATCGCGCTACTTCTGGGAAGATTGAGAATTGGTGTCGTCTTGTGCGACTCAAGAAATAAGCAAGCAGGTTTTGTGCCTGGTAGGAAATTCATTATACTAATATAGGCTAGAAATGTATAAATAAAATAACTTATAAATGTGTGTCATGTCGCTTTTTTCAAAAATGACAATTCAAAAAATCAAGTTTCTCAAAAAGGGAAATCCTACTTTCATTCTTTTTGAGTTGTGCTAATTTTGACGATTTCATAAAATTAAGTTAACCTTTTTGATGATATAGGGTAATGTTTACTAATTCTTATTTATGATAATAACTAAGAACACATTTTTTTAGTTATGTTATTTTTGAAGTAAGAGCACAACTTAATTTTCTTAAATGTTTGTTTATTTTCATAATTTGTGTCAATTATATGTATTTATATATGCGCAATTTTGTGTTTAGACACGGAGGTTACAACCGACGAAGTCCTAATGCTGAAAGGAAGCTTGTCGCCGTATCTCGACACTCACAATGAAGAAGAGTCGTCTTATGTAACGCTCAGCAATGGGCCGTATGGTAAATATTATATCACCGTTGTATATATAATATCAAGTGTTGCTTCCATAGCTTACTGTATTAGATTAATCCGTTCATTAATTCGTCACTTCCTTGTTACAGCATATGTAGCAGATTCCACGAGCACGGAACATAACTCCTACAATCACGTCCTCGTAGATGTATACTTTGTAACGCCCATCCTCTGTAAACATTGTAAGTACATCATTAATTACGGTTTACATTATTTATTATATGAATCAAATTAGTATTAATAGAAGTATTAGTATTAGTAGAAGTATTATCAAATTAATGATTCTCATACTTTTCTCTACCAATATAAATTAACTTTAATCTTGGTTTCACTTATTTTTTATTTCGTTTTTAGTTCCAAGTGTTGGAAAAAGATAAAGAATAAATTAAAACGAGATATATATTAAAGTTAATCTATAATGATAAAAATAAACATTAGTCTATCATATCTTTTTGCTCTTGTTATTTATTTAATTGTTACATTAAAACTGTGAACAAACTATTTACTTTATATTAAATAATTACATTTGTAATTCAGAAAAATCACAAAATTTCAAAATATATATTGATTTTTAAATTTATCCCACAGGTGAAGATTATATCTGGGGTACCGGGAAAGTGGGGGTCAAGTGCAAAGGTAAGACATTCTATTACAATTGAATAATTAGATATAATGTTAAAAAATTTTGTTTTTTTATTCGTGTCAGACAGTCTGCATATTTTGTACGGTACATATATACCTGTTCTGGAGGTATATTTGCACAATAAATTCGAAAATAGATTTTATTTTTTTCGCGCCAAAAATAGCCTTCAGTAAATATTACAGAATATATCTATTCGATATCGCGCACATAGATGGGCAAATAAAGGCAATATTTATAATTTGTAAGTATTTAACATATCTTTGTAGTTATACAAGTATATATCTTACAATTAGTGTCATCAACGACATGAATTGAGGATACAATTTTTATCAATACATAATAAATATATATAACACATATACTATATATATACATATATGTATGTATATACAACATATATAATTTGAAACAGATTCCTTTTTTGATCTATTTTTTGAAAGATTCTATTATATTGTCAATTTATATCATCGATTAATATTATAAACAAATATGCATCCCCTGCTATTGTTTGAAAACTTAATAAAAAATTCTCTTTTATTTTTTAATTTTGGGAGGATTCTATGGGAGATATTTTCGCATTAACGCAGAAGATGAAAAACGCTAGATAGGAGTTGTTATGTTAAGAGGAAAAATAAAATAAAATAAATTTAATTAAACCTCTCTCTCCGATTAAGGGAGAAATATATTCATCATTTTCGCGTCATCTATCCTGCAATAATACTATCTTTGTTGTGTACGTCCAAGAATACGTAACATCCCGATACTTCCGGGATTCGGGTGTACATCCGAGTGAACATCCGTTAAATCGCGGCAATATCCCATTCGCCGAGATTAGTATGTGTTGATTATCGATCCTCGCGTGGATCACCGTCGAGGGCGGCACCGTAGCATAGTAACACGCCGGCGATTTCAAGAGCGGCATGCTATCGCGTCCCCCTTCACCTTCGCTGTCCCCGCTACCACCACCGCGCCGGTTTCTCTCCCGAAACTCCGCGGCCTCTCTGGTCCCGCCAATCCCTCTCCGCGACATCGTATGAGCCAGGACCGTATCTAATCGGAGCAACACTATCCGACTTGGCCCGTAGGTATCGTTCAGACTTTTAATCCAGGATTAACTATTGCGACGTTGCGGTTGGAAAATTAAAGTCATATGATTTCTTAAACTACATAACGATAACTGTAATGTAAAGTTTTCCATATAGAATAATGCACAGAAAGAGTTAAAATGTGAATACATGGAGACACACAGGATGTAGTACGTTAAAGAGCAATTCTATAATCTACGTAATTTTATTTATATTTTGCCAATATTTTGTTTCTGTGGCAATTAATAACATTTTTAAGAAGAGTACTATTATATATATATATATATATATATATATATATATTATATATATATATATATATGATATTCTTATTATTTCAATTTCCTTCTAAAATATTACAGTGTATATATTTAGAAAAATACATACTGTGCGCAAATACTAATTACACTTGGTTTAAGTATACTACATATATTTTACAAGTTTATATATTTATGAATCATAAGTTCATTACAAGAGTATAAAATTTATTCAAAATACATTCTGAATCCTAGCAAGTTCAATACTTTAATCAAGATGATTAAATTAAAACAAATCCGATTTCTTATTATGTAAGGAAGTTTATTCGTCTAATTTTATACTTAATATTCTTTAAAAAGAAATAAATTCTTGTATTTTGAATATAACATATAAGTTTCTTAAAACTTTGTAATGGCTATATTTTAAAATTACTACTTATTAAGAAAATATTCTTTGTTAAAGATATGATCATTATTTAAAAGAAAGAAAGTAACATGAGTGATCACTTAACAATAAAATAATATTTTTCTGTATGTCAGGGTTTAATGTTTTACGATTACAATATTACGGTATTTTATAAAATTTTACAATACGATAATATTTTTTCATTGAGAGAAATGTTTTAGTACGTATAACCATTTATTTTGTTCATATTATGTAACTAACAAAAAAACTCTTACTGTTTTATTAAAAAGTTGTGTTATTCTAATAAAAATTTGGTCATATTTTAATCAAATTTTGATCAGGACACAATACAATTTTTAAATAAAAATGTTAGAAAGTTTTTATTAGTCACATATCAATAAAATGAATGGTTATACGTATCAAAATATTTCTCGCAACGCATCGATATTATTGGATTATGGAAAACGATAATTGGAAGTACAACTTTAATTTATTATTCGGCGAATGCGCTCGCGTGCAGATTTTATTTTTATGCTTTACACACATTTGTTATAATTTGGACAATTTGCCGCATATTTTACATTCCATTTTCTTCATTATTTATTAATACCTACTTCCTCTAACATAGATTAACTTTAATCTGGGTTCAACTTATTCTTCATATCTCTCACTCTCTCTCTTTCTAATTTTTAAGATTAGAAAAAAATGAAGAGTGAGTTGAATTGAGATTAAAGTTAATTAATCTACATTAGGTAGAAACGAGTATAAATGAGTTAAATGAAATATTTTTGCTTTTATTTGTTTATAATCATGAATATTTCGAGAAGCATGAATTTGAATAAGGTGACATAAGTAAAAAATTTATGATAAAAAATTGCGTATAATAAAAAATTGACTTATTAAGTATTAAACATAGTAAATTGCTTGTTCCAAGTTTCAATTGAAGAAATGATGTAGATATTAACTTTATTATGGTTATTATGTTAAACCCTTAAAAATGCTATCCGTATTTCGTGTTACTTGTTTTTAATTTTTTTCTATTTAAAATATAATCCGCATATATAATACAGGACTCGAAAAATTGTGTTTGTCACTTTTCTCGCGAGATGAGTGAAAATAAGGAATATCTCTTTCTTTAAAGCGATGCATTGATCATTTTTGCTCGCATGCTGCTGATATATAATAGCATTTATTCGTACGATATAAAATCAATTTTAGTGAGTCATACATCACGAATCTAACTCGTACGGTCAGATTATTGGTGCCTGTCATGATCCAATCGATGACAGAAGTCATTTGCAAGTGCATTGCGAGATACGGAGAAAATACTTCGCGATAAAATGTAAAACATCACTTACATAGTACGCGGAATATTATGTATGCATTTGCTCGATACTTTGGTCTTAAAATAAACGCATTTACCTCTAGTTTTGGTCAAGAACGTTCTCTTATCCGCATTATTCTCTTATCATGAATTTTTGTACGACAGTCTTGCTTGACATGCTGCCTTCTACGTATAGCGAACTCGCGTTGTAATTAATTAGATCAAGTAACATGCTCGATCCGCTACGTAACGATCGATTATCCGGCTGATTATATTGCCCCGATATCACTGGCGAATCTAATGATGGCTCCATCTAATTCGGATCTCCGTCTAATTGACCACATTGCCATCATTACATTATCTGTCGCGTAATCTCGTAAATTGCTACAGAATTTCGACTGTTCCACATTTTCTCATTACATTAAATTTTAACGACAGATCCCGCGACTAATTTAGAATTTTCTTTAGAGAGAATCTCGAATATCATCATTTTTTATTCCGTCTTATTCCTACCTCTTGACATAAATAATTAAGATTTTAAAGGAAGATTTTATGAAGTGAAGACGATCTCGACTAAAAGTCTGGAGAATCACGTTAATGCAAATTTCTATATTGAGAGGAAAGTTTTTCGTATTTGCGACTATAAATGCATTCTAAAATTTTGATTGGAAGCTTTATTTTTATAATTATTACTGCTGTAATATTAGTAATTATACGTGTAGATTTATATATTAAAAAAAATATATTATTCCCGAAAACGTAAAACTGTAAAATTTATAATCGTTTTTGGAAACAACTGTATATATGTTTTTTGGAATATAAAAATCATAAATATAATTATTACCAACAACATTATAGTAATAATAACTATAAAAATGGATTTTCGTGATATTACTGCGGTAGTTTATTAATGTTACGTTTCAAGTCTGAAAAAATTTCGGCGCGCAATCGAAGAATTACATTCGTAGTATATAAATTTACACACAATTATTTAGAAGCACCCGTGATCCAACTTAGACCGCTGTGGCTTGTCTCATTCGGTTTGAAATTTAGCAGTCCAATAAGAATTGATATTATAAAAATGGAGTTTCTAGCCATAATATTTTACCATTCAATTGTAGTCATAAATATCAAAACTTTTCTCTATTTTTCTTTCTGTACCGCGATCATTATTTCATTCTTTTCTGAATGTAATAATAAACGGCGTATTGTTTAACAATACATGACAGTTCGATTCTCGAGTCTTAAATCTTATGTACGACATATCGAAACCTTGCATTGATGTTTTTCCAAAATTAATTTACGGCAACAAGTCTAGGTAGAGCTATATCTAAAAATACTACGAAAACCAGCGCGATCCGGTTTTCGGGAGCGCCAAGGGTTAATTGTGCTTCAGCTTTGCTTGTTCTTGCTGCAAAAATTGTCGTACACGCTCGACGTAACTTCGCGCGTGTGCGACGGCGGCTTTACACGGTCGAGGTGTTTCACTCTCCCTGGGAGTAATAACGTGTGCGAGCGCGGCCGTTTCGCTCGCGAAGGAATATAGCGCTGGCACTTGGTAATCCTTGAAAATCGGCGCGTTCGATTATGAAGCCGCGAATGGGCAAGCTGCAGAGCTGGCGAGCGAGCGAGCGAGACGCATTCGTACGCCCACGCGACAGCAATTCGCATTTGCATCAAACGACGAATTGCTGAGCTGCTTATCGAACGCTGCGAAATTCAATCTGTTTTTTCGGAATACGTAATAGTCACGAACGGTAGCTTTGGTATACTTCGACGTAAAGAATCTAACAGTAAGTAAACATCGTCAGAAATTATAGATACGACAGTCCCTGTCTTTACACTTGGCTCTATACTTTTATGAAATGTTTGTGTTTATGCTGAATTGAAAGCAAAAATTGAACGCGAAAAGATTGTTAGA